GGATTTGCTAGCAACAAAAGAAGGCAGTGGGGATGGTGCACAGGGTGCAGGGCTGCCCAGGCGGGCTGCTAGCTTGCTGGGTGCTGCCCCAACTCAGAGGCAACCAATCCAACACTTCTCCAAGTCCGCTTGGGCTTCCAATGCCCTGTGCACCATCCCTGCCACCCTCTCCAGCTGCCAGCACATCCAGCTTGCCCCTGGGGCAGCATGGAAAGGTGGCAGGAGGTCAGACAGGTGTGCTGGTGACTGGAGAAGGCAGCAGGGATGGTGCATGGGGCACTGGAAGCCTGGATAGGCTCAGGGACATGTTGGATCAGGTGCCTCTGAACTGGGGCAGCACCCAGCAAGCTAGCAGCCCGCTCAGGCTTCCAGTACCCCGTGCACTGTCCCTGCCACCTTCTCCAGCTGCCAGCAAACCCAGCTGCCCTTCTGCCACTTTCCTGCGCTGCCTCAGGGGCAAGCCAGTCTGTTTCTGGGTGGCCCCTGTTGGCCACAGGAGCCTGCTGAAGGCAGGAGCAGTGAAGGGCCTGATCCTTTATCTTTTTCCAGCGGCGCCTGCCTGCCTCTCCCACGGCTGTGGAGCACGCTGACAGCTGCATTGTTAAAATTTGCAATATTGTAAACTAAACTATCTTGGGAAATAGTTTAGTCTGCAATGATGCAAACTTATTAAACACTTAAACCCCCCAAAATTATTGCACGTGTACAGTGTGATGCCTTTAAGCAACACAAAGTGATATTTACATCACGTGTACATGGTAATGGTGTCATGTGTACAAGCGCCCACAAAGGCCAAGAGTCTAGAACTCGATCTTTCCAGATCTGAACACTCTAGCTCCTATACAACACAACCCTTAAGCACAGGTTTATCACTCATGGTGTAAGGTGTCCCATTAGAGTGAATGGGAGTACTCACTTGCATCCTTAAAGTATCTGCTGACAGGTTATAGGGTGAAATTCTCCTTATGGGCATAACTGTCCATAATGAGGTTTCACATACTTTCTCTGGTATTGTTACCACTATAGCAAATAGATCACAAGTATCTGGCCTAAAATTTCAATTTGATGTGCAAAAAACCCCCAAAAACAAAAAACACAACCTCTACTCTTATATTAATGAAATGCTAAATTATGTAGGCATCAAGTGAGGATACTTCACTTGATCTTAGCCCACAAGAGGCCAAGATATAAATCCAGTAAGTATTCTCGACTTACTCAGCCTCTCCTCCTGCCATAATCCAAAGTCCTCAACACTGATTGGCATAGCATAAGGAGCAGTTTAAAAATTGCACAAACAATTATGCAGGTTTATAAATCTATATTTAAAATCTCTTTTACAATTGTTAAAATGCATAACAGCTTTTCATACAATATAATGGTTGCAAAGTAAGATCTATTATGGGGAAAAAAACACTTGTGAGTGTTTAGTTGAGGAAAGAAAAATTCTAATCATCTCAAATCCAGCTACAGAACTTGTTATAAATACATATTTACAACACTTATAATCACTGTGGTATACCTGGCAGTTGGTTTATGTTAATTGAAATATTCAAAAGGTTTGTAGCACCAGAGAGAGTGCTTTTCAAATTCTACAGGTATATGTCTCATCTTAGTCCAGGCAATATAGGTCATTTCCTTAATTTCAGATGTCTTAACCTATGTCTGGTCAGAACCCTTAAATCAACAGCAGAACATCAGTTCAGAGAGGAGAGAAGTTATCTAAGAATCAGAATATACCCCAAATTCTCTGATCTGAATTACTGGCTTCTCTTTTCTCATTTTTCTCTCCCTCACTTCAGTTTCCTCTACTGATTCTCTAGATTCCTTTTCTTATTGCCATCATCTTCTGTACACAGAACCAAAGCCTCATGAGAGTATGGTTTGGAGTCCATTACAGAGTCTACTGTGGACAATTCAATACAATCATTATGTACTATAGCTGGAGACTCTAGTGATGAGCATGCTAAGAATACATAATATGTACAACTGATTTCACTGATGAGGGACAGAAGGAAGAAAACAAAAATATTTTTAGCATCTGTACAGCATATGGCTTTTTCAAGAAAACAAACAGTTTAGGAACAGAAAGATATCTTTCTCTCTTGCAGATGGGAGAGACTTCCTAAAGGCTTCCTAAAAGGATGGAGTCAGAGAACACAGAAGAAACATCCAACTTTTTGTTCCCCTGTAATGACATTCACTCCAAAACGCTGGTCAAGTAACATTCCTTTGCTTCAAGTTATCTCAGGCTAATAAACCTGCAAGGAGTTCCCAATTCTGAAACATCTTACTGCTACAATGACACGTTATGTTAATTAAATCTGCCATTTCTATTCTGGTTATATATTTTTCCGGAAAATTGCTCTCCATGTCATTTGCCATGGTACATTGTTTGCAATACAATGGACCCCAAAAGACACTGAAGAAGGGAACATACTTCTTTCCCAGCACCTGAAGCCCATTTTTAGCAGACTTACTATTGATGAAAGGCCATATTAGTTCTCTCCTAAACCATGGAAATTAAGTTATTTCTTTTAAGGCCTCCACTGGGAATTTTTCTTCTTATACAAAGAAATGGCTACGTTTGAGTAGTATACTAAGAACACATTCATTTTCCATTCTGTCAATTTCAGCACAGTCCTAATTTTTTGGAAGGCCTTCCAGGAAATATTGAAACATCTACAAAGGATTGCCATACAATCGAATTACTCCCTTTGAATAGTTTTTCCTTTCTGCGGTTCACAATATCTGCAGATTAAATGTGACATAGTAAAAGACAACGATACAGATGTCCTCAAATGTTCCAGAAATGGAGCGATCTTTTTAATGATGCCAGTGGCAAAAATATGGACTGTTTAACAGAAGGAAGACCTTTTTATAGTGGTAAGCTGCCATTTTGTATTCTACTGATTATATACAACTGTTCTACCAATTGTTTTAGCCACAGATTTTACAACGATTGGTAAATATCAATGTCCTCATTTTCTGATGTAAAAACTACAGAAATTGAATGATTTGCCAGCAGTTACACATTACAGCACTGGCAAAGCTACTAATACAATGCAAGTCTTTTAATTCCCATCTCTGTTGTCCATGTTTTCATCTAAACTAAAAGTCTGCAGACAGCTTTTTGTAGTCCTCCAAACCCTTAATACCAAATCCTATTGGCTAAATGTAGCCCTCCAAGACTACTAAAAGCTGTCTGGAGGCTTTTATTTTAGATTATGTTAGATTATGTTGGATTAGGCTGGAATATACGCTGCCTAGAAAAATACCTCATTTTAGAGATTAATGCAAAATCACACTGATTGATGGGCATAAGCATGAATATCAGAAGCATGGGCATCAACATAAACACTGACGGGCATAAGCATGGACTTCAAAATTTAATATGAACATCTAGTTTGGATTTTTAAGTATTTATGCTTTGTTAATCAAATCCTAAAATTAAAAGTACACTATAAAACATGTTACTACAGCCATGTTCTTTTTGCATATTTAAAAACAATTCATTTCCAAAGCCATATACAGGAAAGTTCCAGCTTTAGTGTACTAGGAATAATACACCCTATTACAAGAAAAGATGAATGCTGTGACTGAGTAGCTCAACTACGAAATACTGATTTTAATGGAGCCCAAATTTCAGCCCTGAAGTATTTTGGGAGGGAAGGAAAAATGCTTCTTCAGTCCAGCTAAAACTGATGCTAAATAGTTCAGCAGGGTTTATAGTACTGCAGATATACTAGTGTCATTTCTGCAGAATGGAATTGTAAAGGCAATGCCCTTTCCCCTCTACAGCACATGTGACCAAGACTATACAGTCCCACCATTTTTGTAAGAGCCCAAAAGGGCTCTCACTCAGCACTCTTTCCATAGGGATGTGGTCAGACTGCTTAGAGGTATAAATCTATTCCAAGGCTCTTCTATCTTATTAGAATACAGGGTTTTCCTCTAAGTTTGGAGGATTTATCCAAGATAAACAGAGCTCCAGTAATCAGAGATGACACCTAGGTCAAGCTCCAAAATGAAATAGTCGAGGATGAAAAAAAGTTTGTTGTATCATAGATTCTTTGGGTCACATCCTTGGCTGGTGTAAATTAGCAAACCTATATTGACTTCAGTGGAGCCACATTGCTTCATACCAGCTGAGGATGTGCCCATTTAGCTTTATTTACTGTGATAACTCTGACCAGGGGACCTGGTAAAAGATCATGAGAGACATGTACTATTCATCATGTAAAGGGGGTATCTGTTCCGTTGATTTTTGCATGTATTTTTATTTATATTTTTAGTAAGTTGCACTGATGTATATGTAAAAAAACAAAAACAAAAAACCCCCAAAGCAATACTAGATCTGGGCAAACTATATATTAAATGATTTAGCCCTTTTTCCTCACTGTGAAATGTCTCAAGAAGACTGCAATTTCTTCATGTCTAGTTGATATTCAAAATGACTTAACAAATATCACTTCATGTTTTTAATGTATGGGGCCCTCACACACATTCTAAGGCTATGGACAAATGCACCTTTTAACCACTTTAAAAGGGGACAGAGCTGCCACTCAGGAGTAGTACACATCAGATATTATGATCTATCTTGATCCTTTAGTGACAAAAACTGGCTAAATGCTAAATTAATGCCCAAAGAAACAGCATTAAAGCAGCACTGTACCTAGACTCCTGGCAGCCCCAAGCAAACTTTTAGTATCAGGCCCCGCTTCTCCAGAGATAATGATAATAATAATTTTAAAATTACCATTTTCAGGACCCCTTTCTTTCCGGGCCCTGGGCAGCTGCTCAGTTCGCCCATGCCTGTGTCTGGCCCTGCATTAAAGGTGCACCATTTCTGCTATGTAAGTGTGTAGCATTACTACAGAATTATACAGTTAAAATGATGTGCATTGCTACATAACCATACAGTTATAATGCTTACATCATAATAGCTTATATTGGCACCATTTGAAATTATTACCAATGTTACATCTGCCTATGCCTTGAATTTCTGGGAAAATAAACACAAAGGGGACAAAAAGACCGTGTCCAGATGAGTGTGGCTGTGAGGTATTTGGCACCGCAGACACATCTGTGATGCCACATAACACACATTTAGCTGTTCTCCATGCTGCAAGGGAACAGCATGCAGAGGGTTTGTGTGTGTGTGGGGGGGGTTGACCCCTGGATATCCAGGAGTCAAAAAACCCACACAAAGAAAGGTGGAGCAGAGTGGTGCAAGTGGGGACAGTGTGTGCCACTCAAAACTGAAGTCTGGCCAGCCAGAGCCACACGCTGGCTGCCAGCTAGGCTCCAAGTGGTAGGATCACTACTGCTACAGCCCTGCAAGGCCCCTAGGATCCCAGGTAAGGCGCCGGATGGGGTAGAGCTGGCCCCAGCCTCCCCTACCCCACCCTGGGTAACCTGCCACATTCCAGAGGGCGTGTGGCACAGGCATTCCCCAGGGACAACTAGTGGCAGCACAAACTGTGCTGCTGCTAGTTGTTCCCGGGGAAACAAACATCTACACTCATATGGACACGTCCAAAATGACCAAATTAGGGTATTTAAAATTTGGACAAGCATTCATGGAAATCTTTGGTAGTTATTATGGCACAGCATCTGGCATCTTACGATGTCATGATATATGTGCTTACACAACAGCTTCTATTATTATGAACAGTTTCTATAACTGAAGACTGTGGAACCTGCTTACTCAGACCTAACTGAAATTAATAAAGCCATTTTTAAAGTGAAGTAGAATAAAAGTCCTGAATTTTTCTAAGACTCTATGACATGCAGTTTTAGTTCAAATTGTGAGGCAGTAGCTCTGTGGGAAACAATTACTTCACTATAAATCCAAATTCAACACCCAAAGAATTGAAGTATTGACTTTACTAGACATCCAGTCAAGCTCTCTCACAGGTTTCCAAATAGATTAGGCTTGAGAAAGCTATATAATTTATTTAATAATGGTTGGTCTATCCCATATGACTGCATTACAATGACTTCAAAAACAAGCAAATCCTGCAAGTTCATAAAGACTGATGAAACAGCCAAATATGAAAATAAATGTGTTCACCCTTTATCATTTTCTACTCTTTTTGTGCAGTTGGGGGGTTTTTAAATCTATTTTTGTTTTCTGCTTACAGAGTTATTTAATGAGTTATTAAAAAGGTAAAAGTTATGTAAAAAAGTACCTAACATTATTTTGATTATTCATGTGCACCAAAATCACATTATGCCTGTGAACTTTCAATTCACAGTATTTGTAAGTATATGCCACTGGGCTTTGATTATCATTTTAAGGGATGTATTAAACAATAAAGTTTTAAAACATGTTTAAAGGAGTAAAAGTTTCATGTGTATTTTTTAAGGATTTTTATTGTCTTTTTCCCAGGTAATACCACATATAACATCACAGATGGGGGTACTTATTAAATGTAAGTGGCCATATATGCAGTCGGAGCTGCTGGGCACAGGGCACTTTTGAAAATCTGTCCACTGATTCTTTGGTTATGTTCCAAAAAAAAATCTCTTTCCTGGCATTTGGCCATTGAGTTTAGAAATAATTTTTTACAGTGATTCAATAAAGTATCCTTAGCTTTCTCTGCCATCATTAAGCACTGTCACCGATCACTAAGCAGCTCTGAGGTACACACAAAATATTCCTAGATAAATCCTCCATCTCCAGAGGAATGTCTTTCCTGTACAACTATAAATCCAAGGTCTCTGTTGAAACTAATCCGGTCTGGCAATGCTATGGCCCTAGAAAAGTTTCCTTAGAAACTATAAGCTTATGCAATGGCGAAGTCATTCAATAGATTTTCATGCCATTATATTATATTAAAAACACCTGGTTTATTTATACAGTGACTCAAATGGCTTATAGATTAGAGTCCTAGAAATAATAATACATACATTTTATAGCAAAAAATATACATATAATAATTCATCCTTCTATGGTATATATAAATTGTGTATATTTGTGTGTAAGTACATATATATAAATACATTTCTTGTATTTATATATATTGTGTACTTGTGTATAGATATGTACATCTATGTACACACAGTATATTCTTATTTATCTTTACACATGCTCACGTGTGTATATAGACACATATAAATACACAGACACACACACACGCACATTTTGTGAAGGTGTGTGTACTTTGCAGAATCTGCATACAAACACTGCAGTCCTTCATTGGCTGTGAGTTTCAAAGGTATCAAAGACACCATTATTACAGTCCTTAAAGATAAAACTAACGTCACCGTTGTGGACAGAGGACTGGCTTGATGCATCTTCCTTTGTGAAGCACTAAATTTGCTGGGCAGTGGCAACCTGCAACACACGGCTTGTTGCATGGACCAATCTCATTCCAGTTGTCACATGTTTTGACACATCCAGGTCCACAGGTGTCATAAACTGCACCATGCTTGCACTGCGTTGCTGAAAGACAGGTTAAAGAAACACACAATGTTACTAATACAAAGTCCCGTGTCTGGGTTTAACCATGACATGTCTATTTGCATATTTTCAACTGCAGATATTTAATGGCAAGCTATAGTATCGAAAACAATTACATAACTAGTGCTTTATGAAGAGATTCCACTATATTAAAAGCAACACTGCTTTATACTAGAGATATACATGAATCAAAATCTAATACTGAAAGAATCCTGAATCCTGAATTTGAGCATTCCAGGTCAGGGCCTAATAGCATAACCATATCTCTTTCTCTGTATTAAGTGCTGAAACAAAAATCTTGCATCCAAAGTTCCTCCAAATACTGGGAAAGCGCTCAGTGCCATAGCAACGAAGTTTGGTACCCAGGGCAAACCCCGCAAGCGCTCAGTGCCATAGCAACAAAGTTTTGTGCCCAGGGCAAACCCTGCAGCAGCAGCAGCCCATCCTCACCACACGCACAGATCCAGAGGGCACAGATCCAGGGGACACACTCCCCTCCATGCTTGCCCAGGAGTGCACACAGCTGCGGGAGCTGCCCTTCCCCTGTTACCCCTCCAGATGAGTCGCACACAGCTGTGTCCCACACCCCACCCTGGCTGGGCAGTGCCTGTTGGCACCCCTTTACTTTGGCACCCAGGGTGGTCACCCTGCTTACTCCCTCCCCTTTGCTATGGCACTGAAAGCACTAACCTAGAATCAGATTCAGATTTTGTACTGTAAACTCTGCTTTGATCATATATTTGATATACCTTTTCATCTAAGATTCCTGAAGCATTTTACAGAGGCACTTCAGTATTATTGTCTCTACTTTTCAGATGGAATAAAAAGGGGGAAACAAGGGAAATGACTTGCTAAAGTTCATATAAAAATTCAATGATAAAAATAAAAACAGCACATCTTCTGATTCTCAGATACCTCTAAATGGCACTAGCAGTGCTGTATATTAGACACAAACAAGGCAATAGTGTTGGTTTATCAGCAACATTGTATGCTGTAAAAAAACCTCCAAGGATTTTGAGGCTATATACTATTCTATCAAAGAATCACAGAGCGTGTGGATTTGTAATTATTCCAGCATGTGTTCTTTTTAGTTGATTTATGTAGCTGACAGTTATGGATCTCAAGCATAAATGGCCATTGAGAGTTTATCTTAGAGCCTTATGACAGTGCCAGATCAATACTTAAACTCTTAATGTGTTATATACCACTATTTCAGCATAAAGAATAATGCATAGCTCAATAGTAAATTAAAGACTCAGATCTCACCAACACCTAGAATCAGCTCTTGCTATTTAGAGTTAAGTGGTTGAACTTAAAAGAGGTCTTCCATTTTGTGAGAAATTAAAGGTCCATCCAGACTTCCTGCAAAGGGCTTCTGTTACAAATAAAGCAGTGCCATTTGCTGTACATACGAGGCTGAGAATTATTACACAGCTGCTCTTATTCAGAAATTCAGTAGGCAGAAATGCTCTTATTAAAATGCAGAAGTTTTTATAACTGTACCGTTAAGGTTGAAGCTTAAACACAGAAATCAAAAACCTAAGGTGCTGGTTGATCTTGAACTGGCATAAAAAGATCATCATAGCAATGTCCATTCAGTCAAGTTTCACATGCTATATATTTTACAGTTCCCATCTACCATCTGAAAGAGCAATGTAAAAATGAAAGGAAAGAAGTGAAATGACAAAGGCATTCTTAGTCACTGCAGGGATTTCAGAGGTGGTATGCTTACATTATCAAGGAACTGACCTTACATTACAACTAGAACAAATTAATGTAACCACAAGGATCTTTTCCATTACCTGATTTTTGAGAGTATGGCATTTTTAACACTGATGTACTGTGGATGCAGAAACCTATACACTTGAGAGACTTATACAGCTGAGAGGATTTAGATACATGGTAAGTTTATCTTGGGTAATTTTTCTTTGTTGCCACTAAAGCAACTCTGCAGGAAGATGGTAAGGAGCAAAGGGAACCCTTCTGATGCTAGGAAAATTCCTGTTGGACTCTTGTGCTAGTTTGCTGCTTTTGGTTTGTTTGAAATCTAGGTCTGGCAGACTGGGCTAGAATGCCCTTCAGACTAGTTTGCTAGTGTGTGAACTCAAACAGGATTTCTGCAGTCACAGCAGTAGAGTGCCATATTTTTGCACATAGCATGTCCCTGTATATAGTACACACCCTATTTTTGGAAGGCCTTAAGAAGGGGGGAAAAAACAAAAGAAATTACCTTGGTGCACAGGTAAGTGATTATGGTCTTGGGTCTCTGAGACTGGGGGTGACATGGTGGGGCTATGCACTGGTCCTAAGCCTGCACACCTCTGGTGCAAAGGCACTGAGGCCACACAGTCATGCCATGCATCACGGGTCCTGGCATGCCAAGTCCAGGACTATGTACTGGCTCTGGGGCTGTGAGCTGAGTCAGACTTGGCATGTGCCTTCAGATTTAGTGTGGGGCCTCAGACTCACTGTGCAGTCCCAGCACCAGCATTGCAGATCACACCCTGCACGTTGTGCAGGATTGGGCCCTGCCACATAACTTTGGTGCAGTATGCCAATTCTGGGTTCACATGGTGAGTCCAGGACCCCATGCTGGCTCTGAAGCCAAGTGCAGTTTCTGAACTTGGACAGCTTGGACCCATGTGTCCCAAACAGAGCAGTCCTGAACTAGTACCAGGCCCACCCCAACACATGACTCTAAAATCCGTACTCAGGGCAGGACCCAGCATTCTGGTCAAGGACCAACCCCACATGTTGGGCTGATCTGGCATGCAATTTTGAGGAGGGGGTTCCCACAGGAAATTTGGTGGTGGGGGGGGTAGGTGAGAAAGGAGGGAAGAAAGCAGTGGCAGTGTTAATTGCCACGGTTCCTGAAGCTACAGCAATTAACTTTACCACTACTCTAACTCCCCTCTCCCTACCAAATTTTTGGACCTTTGGGGAGCCCATTTCCTCACATACAATACACACACCATTTTTCCCCAGCTGGTTTTGTAAGAAAAGGTAAGGGTTATATGTGAGAAAATATGGTACGGTATTTCCATTATACCACAGATTAAACAAAGTGAAGTGGAAGGGTTTGAGTCACTTAGGCTATGTGCGAGTCCTTCATAAACATATAGGCCTTCATAAATATATAGGTTGCTAGTGGCTGAAGTGACAAAAGCAGTTGACGAATGAAGGAAGATAGCTAGCTGACTTCACTAGCAAAGGCAGGCAGATGGGTGGGTTTTCTGTGCTGTTACAGCTACTGTACAAGGAAGACCCCGCAGTGTGTGAAAAATAATGCATTTCCAGTGTTGCTGCCAACTCTTCAGGTAGCACCTGCCAGCACCTGTGGGGCATTTGCTCAAACAAAAAACCTGACCTCCACCCAGATCCAGATTTGACTTAATGGACTGCCTTGCTGCAAGGGTAGGTACTAAATAAGCAGATTCCACCTGTTTCTGGATTCATGAAGGAAGCATGTAAGTGAGCAAGGGGGCTGCTAAAATAGATATATTGACTGTGAAGTGTACAGGAACATGAGAACTTCATCAAATCGATGAAACAGAAAGAAATGTCCAAAATGGAAGAAGCTAGCTAATACAAGAGGCCTACAATGGCCAGGAGGAAGAACCAGTTACACCATGTGGAAAAGACTGACTGCTGCCCACCTCACAATGTAGACAGTATTCCACCCTGTTCCTAGATCCCCTATCCAGCACTCTCAAGAACCACTTTGCAGACCTGGGCCAAGAGCAGAACAGATTACAACGGCCAGGGAGGAGGACCCATGTTCCCCCCCAGGTGTTTGAGGCCTGCCCACCGTTCTAAAGGAAGGAGACAATGAACGATGGCAGCTGGAGAATTCCTTTTGTGGTGAGCGGACACATCTGTCTGTCAATGTGTGCACCACCTACTTGGAGCCAAAGTCTGTGACATCCTGAAAAGGCTGCCAAGACTTATCTGGCTCTCTGGTCACTAACACATGGGTCAGAATCCTATTTCATTTTATACTCCCAAATGGCAGTTACCCAGCCATGTAACTCCCAGTTTTGGTACTTATGCTGTTTGCAATCCTATTCCAAGTGCCATAAGCTATGCTCTAGCTGGGCAGGTTAATGGCTCTGTACACACGCACCTAAGTATAAGTCCCAAAATTGTGGCCTGGCAAAGAAGAGGTGGGCCCTCTCATATTTCAACTGAATAGTCTTGTGGTTAGGTCACTCCCCTAGGAAGCAGAAGACTCGGATTCTAGCTGCCCTTGGGGTATGAACCTACATCTTTTACTTCCCAGTATAGTGCTCTAACTACTGCATCTTCTACTTAATATAAATTGGATAAATTGAAAGGAGAGAAGTGCGGAGAATTCCGTTTACTGCACATTTACTTAGTACTTGTTAATACAAGTACTAAATAAAAGCACAGTAACACCTTGTGTAGACTCACCCACTGAGTCAGGCACCTTTGTACTTTGCTCTCTTCCTCCTGACCCTAGATATAGTTTCATAGTTTCATAGTTTCTAGGGTCGGAAGGGACCTGAGCAGATCATCTAGTCCGACCCCCTGCCGTGGCAGGAAAGACTACTGGGGTCAAACGACCCCAGCAAGGTGTTCATCTAACCTCCTCTTAAAAACCCACAGGGTAGGAGCCTGCACCACCTCTCTTGGAAGTTGGTTCCAGACCCTAGC